TCAGAAATGAGATTACTAGGCATCAGGGGGGCATAAAATTATTTATATAACTCAGAATAATAAACCAAAAATATAAGTAATAAAAAAATTAAATCAAGAATAATTTTGTAAAATACAAGAGTGAGTACTCACTATATGAAACATAAGGAAGGCAGATAGAAAGAAAATATGTGAAGACAAATGTATTTGAAATTAAGAGAGTTAAGAATTTCAGAGAAACTGGCAGACCTGAAAGCATTAAACTATAATTTTCAAAATGTTGAAACCATGACCCGTACAAATATAAAATGAACACTCATTAAACATTGATTAATGATGTTATTAATGGAAGAATCAGTAAGATGATAAGACTTATTCTAAGGGCAATAAATTAATAGGAGTTTATAGGACCTACAAAAGTTACAACACAATAAGTTTTTTTTTAATTTTATTGAATAAAATAGAGAAACATACATGTCAGAATGTACAGCTTGCTGAAACTTTACAAGACAAGTCAAACACAATCCTGTAAACAGGATCCACACTAAGAAGCAGAGCATTGGCCGGGCATGGTGGCTTACACCTGTAATTCTAGAACTTTAGGAGGCTGAGACGGTCAGAGCACTTGAGGTCAGGAGTTCCAGACCAGCTTGGCCAACATGGTAAAAGCCCGTCTTTACCAAAATATACAAAAAAGTAGTCCAGCGTGGTGGCATATGCCTGTAGTCCCAGCTGCTTGGGAGGCTGAAGCTAGACAATCACTTGAACCCCGGAGGCAGAGGTTTCAGTCAGAAGAGATTGTGCCACTGCCCTCTAGCCTGGGTGACAGAGTGAGACCCTATCTCAAAAAAAAAAAAAAAAAAAAAAAAAAGAAGCAGAACATTGCTCTAGTTATTACTTATTCTGAAGCAATGATAAATTATGTAATTGCTAGTTTTCTAAAGTTTTAATGTAAACAAAAATTCACCATTTATAAGTGTCAGTTATATGAATTTTGATACAATTATGAAAGCACATCAAGGTATAGAATATTTTTATCACCCTATAAAGTCCTTTTATCACTTTGTAGCCAATTATGTTCCTTTACTCCCAAGTTCTGGCAACCACAGATGTGCTTTCTGTTGTTACAATTTTGCCTCGTGCTTTCTGTTGTTACAATTTTGCCTGGTCCAGAATATTATATCAATAGAATCACAATGCGTGTAACTTTTTGAGTTTGGCTTTTGCAACTTAGCAAGAAATAATTTGAGATTCATTGCTCTACCAGACAATTATATTTTATTCCTGCTTATCAGTAAGTGGTATTCCATTTTATGGATGGAATAAAACAATTCTATTCATTCACTAGGTGTTGGAAATTTATTTTTCTGAGTACTGTGCCTTTGAATTTCATCCATGTCTTTTTATGATTTCATAGTTTTGTTTTTGTTTTTGTTTTCAGACAGAGTTTGGCTCTTGTTGCCCAGGCTGGAGTGCAATGGTGTGATCTCGGCTCACTGCAACCTCTGCTTCCCGGGTTCAAGTGATTCTCCTGCCTCAGAGTAGCTGGGATTACAGGCGTGCACCACTGCGCCTGGCTAGTTTTTGTATTTTAAGCAGTGATGGGGTTTCTCCGTGTTGGTCAGGCTGGTCTCAAACTTGCAACCTCAGGTGATCCTCCCGCCTCGGCCTCCCAAAGTGCTGGGACTACAGCCTTGAGCCACTGCACCCAGCCTGATAGCTCATTTCTTTTTAAGCTGAATAATATTTCATTGTCTGGATACACCACAGTTTATTAATATATTTACTTACTGAAGAATGTTTTAGTTGCTTCTAAGTTTTGACAATTATAAATAAAGCTTCTGTACACATCCATGTGTAGAATTTTGTGTGGATATTATTTCTTTTGGGTAAGTACCAAGGAGCATGATTACTGGATTATAAGTATATTTAACTTTGTAAGAAGCTTGCAAACTGTCTTGCAAAGTGTTTGGACCATTTTGCATTCACCCCAGCAATGAATGAGAATTTCTGTTGCTGCACATCCTCAGCAGCATTTGCTGTTCTCTGTGTTCTGGGATTTTGGACACTCTAGATATGAAGGGGTATATCATTGTTTTTATTTGCATTTCTCTGATGACCTATGATGTGGAGCATCATTTCATATGTTTACATGCCATGTGTATATCTTCTTTGATGAGGTGTCTTTGACCCATTTTTAAAATCATTTGTTGACTTTTTTTTTCTTTAATTCTTGAGAGGGAGTATCCCTCTGTCACCTAGGCTGGAGTGTGGTGGCGCAGTCTTGGTTCACTGCAACCTCCACCTTCCAGGTGCAAGTGATTCTTCAGCCTCAGCCTCCTGAGTAGCTGGAACTACAGGTGTGTGCCACACTGTACCCGGCCTTTTTGACCATTTTAAGTTGTTTCTAAAGGTCTTTGACTCATTTTTAAATCAGGTTGTTTGTGTTCTTATTGATGAGTTTTAGGGACAGCAGCGGGTGGGGAGTTGGGGAGAGATAGCATGGGGAGAAATGCCAGATATAGGTGAAGGGGAGGGAGGCAGCAAAACACACTGCCATGTGTGTACCTATGCAACAATCTTGCATGTTCTTCACATGTACTCCAAAACCTAAAATGGAATAAAAATTTTTTTTAAAAATGAAAAAAAATCCAGTTCTTTGTAAATTTTAAATAACAATCTTTTATCACATGTATCCTTGCAAATATTGCCTCCCAGCCTGTAGTTTGTCATTTCATTATTTTGATCATCCATGCATTATTCAACAATTTTGGAGAATTTCTTATGTGCATAGTGAGAAAATAGTATATAGATTAGTATATATATTCTTGAAGATAGAAAAGGTTTCACCGAACTTAAAAAATTGACCTTTAACTCTGCCAGATGTCTGAGTCTAAAGTTCTTTTACATAGAACATCTGTATATTGCCTAATTCTTCTGTTAATATTCCCTATTCATAAATTGAAAGTATAATTATGTGTATTTATATCTTATCTCCTCTATTAAATTTTCTTTTCTTTTCTTTCTTTCTTTTTTTTTTTTAATTGGACTGGTGTCTCACTCTGTGCCCAGGCTGGAGTGCAGTCTTGCAGTCTTGGCTCACTGCCAACCTCTACCACCTGGATTCAAGCAATTCTTGCACCTCTACCTCCCCAGTTGCTGGGATTGCAGGCTTCCACCACCACGCCCAGCTAATCTTTTGTATTTTTAGTAGAGACAGGGTTTCACCATGTTGGCCAGGCTGTTCTTGAACTTCTGACCTCAAAGTGCTGGGATTACAGGCATGAGCCACCGCACCCAACCTATTAAATTTTCAATGACATTAAATCTCTCTCATAACATTTTGAATTACAGCATTGTCAAATTTAATCATTTAACCTTTATTAAATGATTATATGTTTTGTCATATGCTTCATTTTCATATCATTTCATCATGGATGTGAAAATAGGACTTCAAGATAATTCATAGGTTATAATTTCAAGAAGAAACTGAATTTTAGAGAATTTTAAGTTACTAATTTGATAGCACATAGATAATTAGAATCAGAGCTAGCACTATATCCTGTATTATTAGGGTTTTTTTTTCAGTAATATGCATATTTTTTTCCACTGGGAGATTATTTTGGATTTACATACAAAGCACGTTTATGTGATCATTTGAATCATGTATTGCATGTTCCAGATCATTTACTTGTTCACTACAGAAAAAAAATTATCATACTCTTCTATCCCCACAGAGAATTAGTGTATTTTCTTCTATGGGCATCCCTGTGGAATTCAAGAGCTCAAGGGCCCAGTATAAGAATGAAAATGCACAGTATTCATAGCATGCTTGAAGTAAGTGAGCAGTTCATTTCCAAAGGTAAGAGAAAAGAAATTTGATCACTTGTAAAATATTAAGAAGATCTAGCCTTGAATTTAAAACTAAAATATGTTCCTCACTATTTAAATATAAAAAAGAGGATTCTATTTAATGTGAAGTTGTATTACAAATTTAATCACATACTTTAAATGGATGATAGGAAGTAATAAGTATGTTATTTTAGAAATAGTTTATAAAAACAATTGTATTACTTGTTATTCGATGGTTTTTATTTTGTAGCAGTTTCAGAAATTATGTAAGAATTATGGTAAAAAGCTAACCATAATTCATTTTTGATATAAAAACGTCACGAAAATATACCCAAGGACCTCACAGGCATAATGATCAAATGATCGTATAAATTGACACATCTGACATTGGCATTAAGTTAAAATTTGAAAAATAATAATGATTAAAAATAAACTGCACAGGCCAAAATGAACAACTTGGTGATGTTTGTTTCAGGAAAGAAAAGTGAAAAACAAAAACGAAAATAAATGAAAAATGAACACCAAATTACTTTGGTATGCAAACAAGGTGCATCTACCTCTAGAATCAAATCTCTTGTGTCTGCCACCATTCTGTAAGTCTGCCACCATTCTGTAAGTGCAGTAGGATAATTGCCAATTAAAAAAAGCAGTTTGAAATGGTTTGGTCAGAAAGACTGTCTCAAATGACAAATTTTAATGAAAGCTTAACTTATGGCATTTTCTAGTTATCTAGGCATATTTAAATATTAAATAACTTACATATTGTTTTTCTCATTTCAATACAACCCAATTTTATAACATAGATATGATCGTCCCCATTTTTAAAAAGAGGAAAATAAAGTCACTCGATAGGCTTTAGAAAACTTAGGAATAGCACTCAGACTTTATGAATTTTGAAACAACTTAATATTAAAAATAGATGGCAGTACATTTGATAGAAAATGAACAGGAAATTAAACAGATTAAATAGACATATTTTTAACAAGATAGATTTAGCCCATGTTTCAATAAAATTATTTAATTATAGCAATGCATCCATTTGGACACAGTTTTATCACCACCTATGCATTCACTGACAAGGATTTCATGTTGCTTTTCCAAGAAACAAACATGAGGATATAAGTGGATATGAACTCTATTTTCTTTAGAACATATATGTAATAGTTACAATGTCAGAGTTGCCTTTACATATGGATTTATACAAGCTTCAATTGAACAATTTTACTGAAGTCACCATGTTTCTATTAATGGGCTTCACAGAAGAATTTGATGTGCAAGTCTTCCTATTTTTATTATTTTTAGCAATGTATCTTTTCACTTTAATAGGAAACTTAGGGCTGGTTGTATTGGTCATTGAGGATTCCCGGCTCCACAACCCCATGTACTATTTTCTTAGTGTTTTATCGTTCTTGGATGCCTGCTATTCTACAGTTGTCACTCCAAAAATGTTGGTCAATTTCCTGGCAAAAAATAAATCCATTTCATTTATTGGATGTGCAGCACAAATGTTTCTTGCTTGTGCATTTGGGAGCACAGAATGCTTTCTCTTGGCTGCAATGGCTTATGATCGCTATGTAGCCATCTACAACCCGCTCCTGTATTCAGTGAACATGTCACCCAGAGTCTACGTGCCACTCATCACTGCTTCCTACATTGCTGGCATTCTGCATGCTACTATACATACGGTGGCTACATTTAGCCTGTCCTTCTGTGGATCCAATGAAATTGGGCATGTCTTCTGTGATATCCCTCCTCTCCTTGCTGTTTCTTGTTCTGACACTCACATAAACCAGCTTCTACTCTTCTACTTTGTGGGCTCTATTGAGATAGTCACTGTCCTGACTGTCCTGATCTCCTATTTTTTCATTCTGTTGGCCATTCTGAAGATGCATTCTGCTGAGGGGAGGAGAAAAGTCTTCTCCACCTGTGGGGCTCACCTAACTGGAGTGTAAATTTATCATGGGACAATCCTGTTCATGTATGTGAGACCAAGTTCCAGCTATGTTTTGGAGCATGACATGATAATGTCGATATTTTACACCATTGTGATTCCCATGCTGAATCCTATCATCTACAGTTTGAGGAACAAAGATGTAAAAGAGGCAATAAAAAAAATGTTTGGAAAAAATCAGGATATCAATAAAGTATACTTTCATACTAAAAAATAGATTTTAAAAAGTTAAGAGTGATTGATACTGTTTATCACAATATCAAGAGTGTGTCATTGTGATGTTATGATGTATGTTGGTTTTCATCTAGGGTTCCTGGCTCATAATTCCCATAGCCCTTGTTACAGTCTTTTGTTGCTATGTTGGATGTTTTAGACCTCAGGGGCAGGCCTTTTACCTTCTCCTGCCCTCCTTTCACTTGCCCCAGGGCAGGATTCCAATGTTTGCCTTACTGATTGTGAGTCTTATGACTCTCCCATGAGAGAATACTACCCTATGCCCTGGGGGAAGGAATGTTGATACCTTGAAGCCATTACTGGGTATATATCCAAAGGATTACAAATTGTTCTACTATAAGGACACGTGTACACGAATGTTCATTGCAGCACTGTTTACAATAGCAAGGACCTGGAACCAACCCAAATGCCCATCGACGATAGACTGGATAGGGAAAATGTGGCACATATACACCATGGAATATTATGCAGCCATCAGAAACGATGAGTTTGGGTCCTTTGTTGGGACATGATGAACCTGGAAACCATCATTCTCAGCAAACTGACAGAAGAGCAGAAGATCAAACACCGCATGTTCTCACTCATAGGCGGGTGTTGAACAATGAGAACACATGGACACAGGGAGGGGAGCACTACACACTGGGGTCAGTTGGGGGGAAATAGGGGAG